GAGTGGGGATTCGAACCTGGATCTCCCCAATTATAATTCAACCCTGTAACCACTACACCACACTGGTTCTGACCATGTTGTGTTTTTAAACAACAGAGTTATGTTTTCTCTTTGTAGTTTCCCATTTACCTGCGAAGTGTAGGTGGGGATGGGATCTGTGGTCTAAAAATCACAAAAGTGTCATAAAACTGAGTGGAAATTGGGGGGGGGATATCTTTGAATGAAACGTTTGGTGCCAATTTTGTATATTGGGGGGGGGGGCAGAAACATGGGTGAAAATGTTTAAATGGTAGCCAGGAAGCATTCAAAGGTGATTACATGCTGCACTTACACACAGCGTACTCCCCCTCACACTTGGCAAATAGTTCAGGTTGTGTTGCCAATTTATATTTTCTTTTCAAGGCCTACTTGAAAACTATGCCTAGCATGATCTCTCCCTCACGGAACCTGCTTGCCTAGATGAGAATAATGAATCCCCATTGTGTAACCAGGACCGGCTTTACAATCAAGTATGTGGGGATTGCCTTAGAGTTGCTAACCTCCATGTGGGGCCTGGTGATCTCCCAGAATTACAACCAAACTCTAGACTACAGAGATCAGTCGTTGTCCCCGTCCCCCGAGAAAATGGAAGCTTCAGAGGCCAGGCTCTATGACACCACATCCCTGCTGAGCACAAACACTGTCCTCTCCAAGCTCTGACCCCAAATCTCCAGGAATTTCTCAGACTATTGTCAACCTTAGGTGGCCTCAAGTGGCAGATCTGGCAAGGGTTCAGCTTGTGCCACTTTCACCCTTGCACCCAAGAGATGGAGCAGATAATGTTCCTTCCCTCGTTCTCCACACATCTTTAAACAGAGTGGCAAGAATATGCATGCCCAATGGAACTTCCTGAACTGAATGATTGAAATGATATATTGCCACATTGCCATATTTTCCAGCCCACCAATTAAGGTCTGCCTCACAAGCCCTGTTCTCTGTTCCCCTGCCTTTAAAGGTGAGGCGGGTGGCAACCAGAGACGGGGCTTTTTCAGTAGTGGCACGTTGCTTGTGGAATACGCCCCCCTTGAGGCTCACCTGGCACCTAACATAAGAAGAGCCCTGCTGGATCAGACCATTGGTCCGACTAGTCTAGCATCCTGTCTCACATAAAGTGGTCAACCAGTTCTTCTGGAGGTCCAAGAACAGGGCATAGCGGCTAAGGCCTTCCCCTGATGTTGCCTCCTGGCACTGGAATTAAGAGGTTGACTGCTTCTGAATGTGGAGGTTCCCTTTAGTCACTATGTGTAGTAGCCATCAATGGACCTGCCCTCCATGAATCTGTCTGAGTCCCTTCTAAAGCTGTCTGTACCTGTGGCCATCAGTACATCCTCTGGCAGCAACATTTTAATCACTCATTTTACACTCACTGTATACCTGCGTTAGGTTTTTTTAGGCACCAGGCCAAAAACAGTTTTGTTTACCCAGGCTTTTAAAGCATTGATTAAAAAAAAACAACAACACTATCTTAGTTTGGAAACTTATTTAAGCTATCTGTGGTCTGTTTTTATAGTCTTATGTTTTTATGCTGCGCTTTTTTCTAATGCTGGATTTTAATGTTTTATTTTTTTGTTCTTATTTTTATTTTGTAAGCTAACATTGGAAGATTTAGTGCCTCTCTACCCTGACTCCAAATGGATTCTTGGTGGGGATTTTAATGCTAGGATTGGGCCGGGTAGTTCTGATGCTCGGTTGGGCCTGTACTCCCAGATCGCTGCACATACCTCTCTTTTGGCGTGTCATTCGCAAGACCCTGTAACTAGTAAGCCTGGCCTAAAATTCCTTGAGTCGCTAACTGGGGTTCAATCTGTACATCCTACATGGGACAAAACTAGACAAGTCAGGTGAAACCTATACATATTTAACATCATCTTATGCAAGGGTCATTTCCTGCAGGAGCTCACAGGAGCGGAGCTCCAGCAGTAAAGAGCCCAGGGGGCGGGCACATGCAACAAGCCCCACCCCCTGCTCCCAGTGGCCCTCAGTCAGAGCAAGAAACAGCCAGATAAGTTGCAGAGCCCCCACCCCCGGTCCAAAACAGTCCAGTGGCACCTTTAAGACCAAGTTTTATTCAGGTACAAGCTCTCCCTCCTCTGCGAGGACAGATCTGCACGTTCCCCCCCTCCTGCCATAGCTAGCAATCCAAAACAGTCCAGTGGAGCCTGAGCGGCGGGGGTTGCCTTCTGGCAGATTTTCAGTGATGTCAGGGGGTGTGGCATATGCAAATAAGTTATGCTAATGAGCTCCTACACCTCTTTTTCTATGAAATGACCCCTGATCTTATGCTAGCAGAATTGACCACATAGCCCTTTCTCCAACTTTACTAGGTCAAGTGTATTATTTTGAAGTAGGCAAAGGTACTGCAAGTGACCACTGCCCATTAAAGCTAGTGCTAAATTTTAACAACAGAATTTATTTGATGCCAAAATCCAAACACACCGAAGATCTGTTCCCCGCTCGATCGGAGCAGCAGTGAAATGACGCAGCAATAGCTTTAAAGAAGGTAGGATCCTGGAGATGTGGCATAATTCTTTTCTAAATTACACACATTATGTTGTGAGGATACGGCTTGCTATTGATGACTTTGTGCTGTGTTGAATTTATTGTGTTGTATTCGCTGCGACAAGGGCTAGATCTTTCTCAGTGGCGGCCCCTACCTGGTGGAATGAGCTCCCGGAGGAGATCAGGGCCCTGCGGGACCTTATGCAGTTCCGCAGGGCCTGTAAGACGGAGCTCTTCCACCAGGCTTTTACATAGGGGCCGCCGCTGCCACCACCACCACCAATGGTGGCAATACCATCGAGGTCGGGAATGCCCTTGGAAACTTAGCAGTAATAAGAACTATGTGACAATGAGACCGACGGACTGGCTCGGACTACTTATTGGATAACGGTACCCCAATTGGGGCTGCTGGAAGACATCACTACAACAGCTTAAGACCATCTTGATAATGGAAGCACTTTATTGTTAATTGTAATGTAATGTTTTGGTTTTGATTTTATGGTTTTATTGGATTTTATGTACGGGCTTGCGCCCCCCAGCAATAGCTTTAAAGAAGGTAGGATCCTGGAGATGTGGCATAATTCTTTTCTAAATTACACACATTATGTTGTGAGGATACGGCTTGCTATTGATGTAATGTAATGTTTTGGTTTTGATTTTATGGTTTTATTGGATTTTATGTACGGGCTTGCGCCCCCTGTAAGCTGCCCTGAGTCCGCTTGCGGGGAGGGCGGGGTAAAAATGTTTAAATAAATAAATAAATAAACTTTGTGCTGTGTTGAATTTATTGTGTTGTATTAACTTTGTGAGCGGCCTTGAGCAGGTCACTGAGGAGGTGGCTATAAATTTTCTAAAAACATGAGCCAATGTACATTTCAGCACACGCACATTGCAAATGCAGCAACTAGTCCTTGGTCACGGGAAGAGCCGCCCAGTTGAAAAAGCAGAGGTACCATGAATTCTTTGTATCTGCTTCCCATCACAAACCTTCCTGTGACATAATATAAGGGAAATTATTTATTTGCTTCATTTATAGCCCCCCTTTCTTAGTGAAACCCAAGGTCTCCTGTCCCAGAGTTTTTGGGGTGGGAGATGAATGGCAGTTAATCCACACAGAATGGATTTCGAGTTACTTGTTGCGAGCAATGGCATAGTGTCAATCTGCCTACCCTTTCCACTGTTTCTTCCAGATGGAAAAAAACCCCACATTTCAGCAGCATTTGAAAAACAATAGCTGTAATCCCACATCTTCTTGGAGGTAAGGGCAAACTGCCCATTGATTTTTAAAGGCTGTGAATGGCACCCAAATATATATGAGCAGGCAGGGTGCCACACTTGTTTATTTCCCCCCTTGGCAAAGTGTCTTTCAGAAAACGGCTGTGCAACACGTTCAACAGGCACAGCAGCATTTCCCAGCTGACATGTATAGAGATGGGTGGAAGCTCTGCCTGTTGAATCTCTGCCTGTTAAGGTTGTTAAAGTATAGACGCCAACTAGAATAACAAGCTCCTTTCAATCAGCTGAAGGTCATTTATATGCCTTCCCTATCCAGTTTAGGAATGGGCACCTTTACATAAATTTGCATATGGGTTGCCAGGTTCCCCAGGCCACTGGCAAGTGGGTGGTGGTGCAGGGTTCCAGCAAGGGTTGCCAACCTCCAGGTGGTGGCTGGATATCTCACACTACCTCTAGGCAAACAGAGATCAGCTCGCCTGGACTCTATGGCATTATGCCCCAACCCCTGCCTTCCTCAGGCTCCACCCCCCCCCAAAAAAAAATCTCCAGGTATTTCCCAACCCAGAGCTGGCAACCCTAGTTCCAGCTGCAGGTTGGGAAAAACCTGGATACTTGGGGGGGGAGCCTAGCGGCAGGGGGCAGACCTCAGCGGGGTACACTGCCACAGAGTCCACCCTCCAAAGCATCCATTTTATCTAGGAGAACTGTCTGATCTCTGTAGTCTGGAGATGAGCCGTCATTCCAGGAGATTCCCCAGGCCCCACCTGGAGGCTGCCATCCCTAATTTATGGCTGTCTACGCGGACGTGTCAGCCTGAAGGGACCCTCATTTCCTGCCACCGGCGGCAGCCACGTGAAGGGGGCGCCACGCTCGATCAGCAGGGCCCTGTCAGGTAAAGGCCGCGCAGCCGCCGGCGAGGCCCGTGACGTAACGCGCGCACCCACTTCGTTTCCTCCCTCCGGCCGCCATTTGAAGTTGGCGCCCAGCGGCTCCTCCCATGGTGCCCCGCGCGGCGGCTTCTCTCCCCTTCCCTCGCCCTCCTCCCTCCGCTTCGGCTCCGGCGGTCCGCGGCTGCCGGGCTGGCGCAGGCGCACTGTCCCCGCCGTCCGCCATTTTGTGTCCGAGGCGGCTGTGGGAGCGATTAAACCGCGAGCTGGTGCTGGGCGCTGGCGGCGGCCGCTAGCGGCGGGGGCAGCGGCAGCAGGAGCTCCGCAGGGCCTGGAAGGGGCGGGGCCCGGGGCAGCAGGGGCGGCCAGGAGGCGCCTCCGGGGCAGGTAAGCGGCGCGGGGGGTTTGCAGTCGCTTTCTCCGGCCTCTAGGTGTCACGATGGGGCTCGGGCTGGGACCCGCCGCGGCGCCGCCGCCGCCGATGGGGAGCGGGGCTTTGTCTCCCTCTACCGTCCCCATCGCCCTGATGCCGGCCTGGTACTGCCGCCCATCGGCCTCACAGCGCAGCGCCGCTGACGGAACCGGGCCTGGCCGCCAGGGAGACACTCAGCCGAGGCGGCGGCGGCGGCGGAGGAGGAGGGGGCTGAGCCGAGGCCTTGGCCCGCCGCCCTCCCTCGCCGCCACCGCCGGGCCTGTCAGGGACTCCCGAGGCGTCTCTGCC